TTCTTCCAGATGATTCTAGCTTGTGTCAGGTTGACAGAGCTAAGCATCTCTGGAGGTAAAGTGGGGTCCGTGCACCACAGGACAGCACGAAGCCTGTAAACTGAAGGTAGGGGAGGCTAACGAGGCCATCGCATGGATGTGGAAGATGGCTGTCGTGACTGGGTGATAAAGGTCCCCACAGGCCCTGCAGGAAGGCTTGCCTGTCCAGCGGAAGCTCACCTGAAGCCAGTCAGCCACCCCATTAGAGAGCTCCCTGCCTCTCTCATCATCAGGTCTGTTGCCCCAGCTGCCCACAGGTGCTCACACCCAAGGATGCCAGCGAAGATGTTTCTCAGGGTAGCCGGAGCACCTTGCTGCCCCACTGACCTGCCACCTCCTAACACTAATATGGGCTTTGGAACCCTAGAGCATCACTGGAGCAGCGACTTCTCAGAAATGCTTATGATGCTGCCCCTTGAGGGTTCTATGTGGATTAAAATACCTATTTTAATTTAGCTTCAAAGAATATGGATATTTTATTTTGGATTTGGGAAGGTATGTTGAGTTTGGCTAGTAAACCCATAAGCTATTTTACACATTCCCAAAACATCCCTGAGCGAGAACCAGGGGGTTGGTCCCTCATGTAGAACTGAATACAGAATTTAGCAGGCCAAATAGCAGTGATTAGGCACCAGCATTAGCTTCATCTTCTCTCAATAAAAAGGTTGCCGGCGCACGCCTTTAATCCCAGCACTTGGGAGGCAGAGGCAGGCAGATTTCTGAGTTCGAGAGTTCGAGGCTAGCCTGGTCTACAGAGTGAGTTCCAGGACAGCCAGGGCCACACAGAGAAACCCTGTCTCAAAAAAAACAAAAAAACAAAACAAAAAAAAAAACCAAAAAAAAAAAATGGTTGCCGGCAAATACTTTGAAATCCTCTAGAATTCATATATCAAAAGGTGGCCCTGTAGCAGGATGTGGTGGCACACGCCTGCAGTCCCAGAAATTGGAAGGCTAAAGCAAGTGGATCATGAACTCAGGACCAGCCTGGGCTACATAGTAAGATCCTGCCTTAAGTGGGGAGAGGGCCTTCCAATACTTAACACTACATTAGCTTGGGGTGTTGTGCCAGTCCCAAAGAAGTTTCATTTCTGGTTCTCAAAGTATTACATAAATTTGCCTATGGCCAACATCAGGCTAAGCCCTGCGGGTCCTGCGGCAGAAACCCAGGGAAGCTTTCCATGAAATAACACGAGAAAGTCCAAAGGGGTTCCAAGAGCTGTATTGCCATGGTGTGTGATAGATGGTCTAGATGTGCAACCCCCCAGCCACGTTTAAGCCAAGGCGAGCCTGACTTAAATAGGGAGGGAGAAAAGAGGAGGGTCACTTAATTTAGCTATGTCCTCCAGGTAACTCATTGTCTCTAGGTAACTCATTAATATGAAAATCTCTTGAGGCTGAAGCCTGTAGTCACGCCCACTGACTGTAGCCCCATGTGACTGCAAGGTGCAGATCAAATGGAGGTCTAGACCAAGTGTAGGAGCCTGGATTCTGAGGGCATGGCCGAACACCTGCCGCTTCTCCATTGGAGTCGGGGTTCAAGGCCCGTGCCCAGCCAAGAACCAAGATATCCTTCCACGTCCCAACAACCTCCTACCCCAAAGGTACCCAGTCTTGTTGAAGTATTGAGTAGAGCAAAGGCTGCAACACACTAGAATAAACCAGGCCTGCTTTTTCTGCCCCTCCATACCTTTTGCTGTGAGCCCCAGAAGACCCACCTAAACCATGGGCTGAGAGATGGCTCAGTGGTCAAGAATACGTGTTGCTCTTTCAGAGTGCCTGGGTTTGATTCCCAGCACTGATATAATGGTTCATGACCATCCCTAACTTTGGTTCCAGGGGATCCAAAACCCTCTTGTCCTGAGAGTACCAGAAATGCACTTGGTACAGACAAACATGCAGACAAAGCATATATATATATATATATATATAATCTAAAAAAAATTAAAGGTTTTTGATGAGGACAATAGAAGTCTATGCATAGAAGGCAATGGGCAAAGCCCTTTTTTTATAGTTCAGGAGAAGAGAGCACAGGAAAACTGGGGAGAAGGTTAGAGGCAGGGTGAGCAGACCACGGTGACCAGGCAGGACTGCATCCGGCAAGGGACACTGATGGGGTCCTGTTATCTGTACAGTTTTATATTTTCCTCTGCACCCTTTCTCTCCCTTTGGCAGGGTGGCAGGGGCTATAAGCAGTACGTGCTCTTTGCTAGTTTTAATGATGTTTTCCAGAAATCTGGAGGCCCCTGGGCACCATCTATCATGTGGCACCCGAGAGTCACATGCGGCTCTAATGGTGTACAATAGCATGCACTCCCACAACACTGCCATATGCAGCAATCTGCATTACAGCTAAACATTATCTGAGCTGGGCAGAGTGGTGCATACCTTTAATCCCAGCACTCAGAGGCAGGCAGGTTTCTGAGTTTGAGGTCAGTTGGATCTACAGAGTGAGTTCCAGGATAGCCAGGGCTACACAGAAACCCTGCCTTGGGGTAGGGGTGGGGGTGGGGGGAAGATCTGAACTCCAAGACCTAAGGATGGGCAACACCTTTAGGAACAGGTCTCCAAGGCTCCATGAAATGGTAGCTTAAGAACCAGCAACTCGACTACATCAGACTCAAAAACTGCTGAATGCAAAGGAAACAACAGTCAGAATAAAGAGAGCCTACAGGTGAAACAACCGCCTGTTGGCTCTTCATCTGCCTGAAGGTTAATAACTGGATACAAGTATCCAAAGAACAAACAGTGCAACCAACAAATGAACAAAGGAACTATACAGACACATCTTAGAAGACACACAAATTGACAAATGTGTGAAAAGAATATATGATGTGAAAAGCCAGCTGTCTGTGGCCATCAGCAAAGTAAGTCTAAACACCAAGATTTCACCTCACCCAGTCACAAGACCATCATCCAAGAGAACAGCAGACAGCAAAGACAGACCAAAGGAAAGTCTATGTTATTGGTAGGAACACAAACTGTTAAACCACCATGTCAGTCAGTATGGAGGTTCGTCAAAAATACTTACCAGATGATCTGGCTATGCCAGTCCTGGGTATACAAAGGAAGGAATTAAATTCAACATACTGAAGACATACCTACATACCTATGCTTACTATGGCACTATGCACAACAGGCAAGTTATGGAATCGGCTTAGCCACTTATCAACAGAGGAATGGTTAAAGAAGTGTGTGGAGCTGGCAGTGGTGGCGCACGCCTTTAATTCCTGCTCTGCACTCAGGAGGCAGAGGCAGGAGGATCTGTAAGTTCAAGGCCAGCATGGTCTAGAGTGAGTTCCAGGACAGCCAGGGCTACACAGAGAAACCCTGTCTCAAAAAAACAAAAACACCAATAAATAAATAGATGAGAGAGAAAGAAGAGAGAGAGAGAGAAAGAGAGAGAGAGAGACAGAGAGAGAGAGAGAGAGAGAGAGAGAGAGAGAGAGAGAGAGAATATGTATGTTATTTGGTCATAAGGGACAAAATTATGTCCTTTGCAGAAAAATGTGTGGAACTAGAGATGATGGTGCTATGCTCAGTAGCTGGACTTGAAGGCAAACACTATATCCTATCCCAGCTATGACATCAATTTAAAAAAAAGATCATCCACCCCACCACCCCAGCCCCTGGGTGTGGGACACACACCTTTAATACCAGAACCAGGAGAAACTCTCAATCTGTAGCCTGGTTTTCATAGTGAGTTCCAGGTAAATTAGGACTCTATAATGAGACCCTGTCAAAAAGAGAAAAACATAACAAAGAAACCATGGAAGCAGAAGGCAGATTATTTAGGAAGGAGCCAGAAGAAAGGAGGAGGGACAACCGAAGGGAATAAGGGGCAAATGTGATTAAAGTACATTGTATACATTGTATACATGCATGCCAACATTATAATGAAATCCATTCTCTTGTGCAATTAATATCACTAATATTTGTTTGAGTTGGGTGTCTCATCCAAGCCAGGCTGGCCTTGAACGATGAGGTGAAGGATGACCTTGAACTTGTGAGTTTCCTGCCTCCATCTCCTGAGTGTAGGATTACAGGCCCCAGCTATCATTTTTGTTTTTAGAGACCGGGTTTTACTCCATAGTCCACCTTGAGCTCCTGGCAGTCTATCTGCTTCTGCCTCACGAGTGCCAAGCCATGAACAAGCCATTAAAAGAAATACAATAAATATATGCCATTAATAAACACAATTAAAAAAAAAAAAAGAACTCCACATGTCCTGATGACTCAGTGGGTAAAAGTGCTTGTGGCTTGTCAAACAAGCTTGGCAGCCCAAGTCTGAGGCAGCTCAGGGTAGCAGAGACTTCTGAAAGTTGTTCTCTGACCTCCACACTGTGACATGTCTTTGCTTGCCCCCGACACCGCCTCATGCTAATTCAAAAGCCAGTACTTCTATTTATCTCTTTGCAGGCACAGCTGATCATACCACTATATGCTCACACAACATCCCTGCCCTTTGAAAGGGGTGGGTGATCCACTTCTCTCTTCTCACTTCTCAGGAGAGAGCCTGCTTCTCTCTTCTGGCATAGCTACTTTTGTAAATTATATCTGCTATGAGCAGCAAGAGGGGTGGTGGTTATCACTGAATTTGTCTTTTGGAGCAGATTGCATTCTGGGTTTCTCATCCTCCCCCCCGCCCTGTCCCCCTCTGCCTAAAGGGTATCTTTCTTCTGTCCTTTACAAATTCCCATTACCTCAAAATGTTTAAATTGTTTTTTATTTTGTTTGGAGGGGGCATACACACATACTATGGTACACACATGGAGGTCATAACTCAACTCATGGGAGTTGATTCTCTCCTTCCACCAAGTGGGTCTCAGGGACTCGGCCATTAGACTTGGCAGCAGGTGCTTTTACCAGCTGAGATATCCTGACGCCCAACTTTTTTGTGCGTCAGGCCTGGTTGCCAAACACAAATATTGCCGATGTGTAAATAAAGAGCCACTCACAGAGCGTATGCACTAATAAAAATTTAATATCAGAAAACAAATCAGAAAACAGCAATTTTTAAACCTTTCACAATTAAAATGGAAAGACACAAAATTATAAGGCAGCCATCCATGGAATGAGTTTATGTGTACAAAGGATCTAGAAAAGGGGACATTTAAAATCACCGTGTAGGCCACCAAACCAGGGGAATCATAGTGTTGCCATCCCAGTAGAGTCCCAGTTTACAGGAAGACACACCAGACAAGAGAGCGAAGCCAGTCTTCTGCGCTTAGCTACTGTGGGGGACTGAGCGCATGGAAACAAGTCCTACAGGTCTACTAGTCCTTTCCCACCAGCCCTCATCTTCAGGTCGCCTGAGCTGAAACTTCAATGTCTCAAGTACAAAAAGGTCAGAGTTGTACAGTACCTCAACCAGTGTTCTTCAGGAGTGAGTCCCACTCTGCACTGAACAGAAGTCTGCCGCAGAGACTCTCTTGCCCAATGACTGCCTGTGACGCAATGGTCTGAGGCACTGGCCCAAAAAGGCAGGAGCGTCTTAGAGGCTTGTGCTATCGACATACAGTCCCATGTTCAGAACTTCACTAGCATGAGGGTCAAGGCTTAAGACACTGTCACTGCTCTGCCCCTCCTATCTCTAATCCTTGAAAAACAGAACCAGCTAGTGGTGACAGACTAGCTTTTTTTTTTTTTAAAAAAAAATCTATTTTCCCCTTTCTAGAAGAACAGACCCTCTCTTTCTTCTAATGATCCAACCTCCCAGAGAAGTTGACTTGGTTGTTCTGAACTGAGAATCTGGGGACTGAGGTGAAGCAGGGGAGAGAACACACTGTGGTACTGAGTGGGCAGTACCATCCCAACCGCTGCCATTTTTAGGCCAGGAAGTCTGCCTGTGAGGACACAAGCTGGCAACAGCACACACAGGAAAGCAGAGTCAAATGGGACATCACTGCCCTGCTGACTCGGGGACTGGCAACACTGGGAACTGGGGGGAGAGGGGGGAAGGTGCTCTGAATCTGAAGACCGTTAGATTCTGGGGGAAAGGGACTGTAATTCCAATTAAGACTGCTTTGGTCACGAGGAAGGCGGAAGGGCCATGCTTTTCATCAATTGCTTCTTTGGTAACCCGTAATTCCGCTTGTAATTGTGGCAGCAGCTGAAGTATCACCAATGTGCTCGAATGTGTTTGCACATTAAGGCATCCACACCTCCAGAGGGAGTTTTAAGGTGGAAGAAAACAGAACTGAAAGGTGATGTGAAGCGGTCAAGGTGGCTGCTCTGGGGCACTGTCTGCTACATGAGCAGCCTCTCCCCACTAGACGAGGCCTCTGCGTGGTTCCTGCTGCCTCACACACATTTGAGCCCTATTAAGAGTCATATGGCTATCTGAGCCTGCTGGGCAGGGAAGGGGCATGCTGTCCCCAGGCAACAGCTCCGGGCCTGGAAAGGCCCCAGCTTTGGAAAGCTCACTACAACTGAGGCCCGGAGGGGAAGGCAGATTTGGAAGTTTGATGGTTCAGTCCTTACCAGAGTCCAGGGCCCTACCCAACATGATATTCTAGCCAAACTTAGAGATAGCAAGGCACTGCTGAACGAAAGAGGCTCTGGCCAGCACAACAAATCTCTGACCACTGCACGGAGCAAGATGACAGAAGCTACTTCTACCCAAACCAAACCAGACACAGTGAGCTTCTAGAGAGATCAAGACATCTGTACTTTGGGAGGACTAGACGAGCCCAAACCTTTCCGAGTCACCTGGCTGCATTCATGAACACTTTAGCGTGGGATGCAATAGCTACCAGCCTCCACAGAGAACTGCATCCCAGTTCTACTTTCTTCACTACAGCCAGCAGAGGGCGCACAAGTTTAATCCCATAGCTGCTGGCTGACCTAGTGACAATTTAGGAGAGAAAGAAAGAAAACTACAGGCATGCTGGCATAGATGTCATAGAAAAATACAAATGACTGCACTCACTGCTCCGAAGAAACTAGTCTTGGCTCCCTCTTTATGTAAAGTATTTTTGAAATGCTACAGAAAATATAAATTAATACAGTATTATACACTTATCTGACTAGGATTTATTCAGATTTTGGCAAACATAGAAGAATTACCTTTGTTGAATACTTTTACCATCTCAATTGCTTCAATTATCAGTGACTGTGTTGACTCGCATGAGGAGGTGACATTTTTGAGGGTGTAATAAGGTTGTACTGGACACAAAGGTAACTTAATTGAAGGAAATGAAGAATAGACAGTGCTGTCTTCATCATCATGGGTCAAGTGGTGAGAATTCACTTCACACAAGGACTGACGTCACCAGGAGCAGTAGTGGTACAGTGGGGCAGGGAGAGCGAAGGGAAGAGTGGGATGCAGACATGATTGCAAGGAGACTGAAGCCAGCAGCAGACACTCCCCTCTGATACAGCCCTGCCGTCTCCTGCACAGGAGCTAAGGAGCAGACAGAAACACTCTCCACTCTGGGCAAGAGCTCAGCCAGAGGGACTACTGGCTGCTAAAAGAAACACTTATAACAGCAGTTCTCAACCTGTGGTCACAACGCCCGCCCACAGGGGTGGCATATCATATATCCTGTTATCAGACACTGACATTACAATTCGTAACAGTAGCAAAATTACAGTTATGAAATAGCAACAAAATGATGTTATGGCTAGGGGAGGGGGCACCACAACACGAGGGACCGTAGTCAAGGACTGCAGTGTTCGGAGGGTTGAGAACCACTGACTTAGAAGAAAAGGACAACATACTTTGTAATAGTGTTATTTTTTAAAAAGGTTACAATATATCAGTGACTATCCAAATTCCTGGAAGTTTTACCATCCCTTAGTTTCACAGAGATCATACTGTTCTTGACGGAAATCCTGTGCCTGAACAGAATCTGGCTACTGAGAGTGTGCTGCAGACAAGTATTCTGCAAGGATACTTTTTAAAAATGCTGTATGATAACAGACCCCTCTTCAAAAGTCAGTCCCACCTCCTTGCTGTACGTGGGAAGGAAGGGCAGGCTCTACGTGGGGAGGCATGTGAAAAGGAGTTATTGAAGACTCTAAACACCCCTTTCCATGGACGTTTCTTTTGGGTTCAGTTCAGCTTATGTCTCCTGCCCTTATTTTCCTTATTCTAACCTCAAATTAGTTGCCATCATCTTTAGCATCTAAGGGACGGGTGTTCCTACCTCCTCTCATGGCGTGTGGCACAGATGCTAAAGCACCAGTCTTACATGGTGAGTACCACGTTAAAAAACCAATGGGTAAAGTGGTAGAGACTCTGAACTAAGGGAAAAAACTTTAGCTTAATTACAGAACACTGCAGTTTCATAATTACAATTTCATTGTATGAAGTTCTCCACGTTTCTTTAAAACTAAATTCCATCTTCCCTGAGAATAGGGTTAAGAGAAACATCAAAACTTAATATATCAAAGTCCCTTTAAAAGACAACACAAAGTCTCTGTCTAATTCTGATGTTCCTGCTATATGCTGTCCCACTTCTCCACGATTGACTCTCATCTCCCTCGGACTCTAGGAACACGGGTGGAGACGGGCGAGGTGAGACAAGACACTGAGGAAGCGAGGAGCGCCACACGCTTGCTCTTCTTCCCGGATGGCAATGGCCGTGGACTGAGGCTGGAGCCTGAGTGGTTAATGCTGGTGTCCTATTGATAGGATGAGCGGTATGAGGCAGCCCAGAACCAGGGCTGCCACCTCAAGGCGGCTGAGGCCTCTCCCTCCCGTGGAGTCAGGTTTGTGGCTGTGCCCCATTCCACCCACTTCAGGGAGGACATGGACGGTGGCAACATAAAGGAATGTCCCAGCAGAGAAAAGCATGGCCACTCCAGTGGCATTGACCTCCGAAAGGGCTTCTTTACTGCTCTGTGAATTAGAAGAGATTAGAATTAGAATTAAAACAAGTCACATCAAATTTAAAGACAGGAAGATGTCCCAACTAAATCTGAATATATGTGCCTGATGCTGCTGAGTACATGGAAACATCTTGAGATTGGATAAATAAATTCTGTCATTTATGGAGAGGTCTTAAATAAAGGTTTAAGAACACCAGAGACACATACAATCACAGCTTAAAAATATATTTGAAATTCACAATGTTTATTATACAGATACTATGATTTGAGAAAATAATAATAAAATCAAGCTAATCAACATATTTATTACTTCAAATGTTCATGATTTTCAAGAACATTTAAAATTTACCTTTACATTTTGAAACGAAAGCTTTATTACTAGAGCTGCTTTTTCAAAACAACTTTCAAGCACTGCCTAGGAAGTTTCACTTCCACCTCTGAGATGGAATCCCAGAATTCTAGGCATCAGTCCATTTGTTCTATTATTTAACGAGTATCCTCTGTGTTGCCAAGCCAGGTACTTGAGACACAGACTCACCAGGATGCAATAGAGGCAGCTATCTCTTAGTTTGAGGCCAGCCTGATCTACATTGTGAATTTCAGGACAATCAGGGCTACATGGAGAGACCCTGACTCAAAAAAAGAAAAAAAAAAAAAGCAACAGCTACCTTCATAGCACTAAAATATATCTCATTCACTAATCTGTGTTTTGTTGGTTTTGATTATTTAAGACAAGGTCTCATAATATAACCTGGGCTTAAACTTTGGACTCTCCTGCCTCAGTTTCCCAAGTGCTGGGATGACAGTGTGCCATTCATTATCCTGTCATCATTTACTCATCTTTACACAGCTAGTCACAGCCTTTCTATTAAGACTAGACCTGTGGGCCAAGGCAACTGGTTAAAACCTCACAAACTTGCCCCAGAGGCAGCATACCACTCCTCGCTTTCAGAATTGTCAGGAGCTTTCTCCATGAAAAGTTCTAAGCACAGCGGTCAGTGAGGTGATTTGCCCAGCATGTGCAAGGCCCTGGACTTAATCCGCAGTATCAAAAGCAAGTGCGTGTGGGGTAGCCTATAAAGAATTATCCATTGCTCTTAAGGTGAAAGGTCCCGTGTAAGACTCATTTGTTAGAGTCAAGATCAACAATCAACCGACCCTGGTTATCAGAATGTAACTACTCGTTAACCATTATCCACATATACTGACTGTCTTAAATCTTTCCCTTTCCTTCCTTTTCATTTTTTTTTTAAATGAGAAAAGAACAGAAAGGAAAAAGAGGAAGACAGGAAAAGCAGTCTGGGGGTATAGTTCCATGGCAGAGTATTCTCATGGATGTGGGAGGCTCTGGATTCATTCCCACCAACCAGCCAACCAACAGAAAACCAGAGAGTCAACGCTCCTTTTAACACTCTTATTGTCTTATATGATGACCAATCAATGACCTTCCGAGGAGGCATGCGGGAAAGCAGTTCCTTCCAAGCAGCCCTGGTTAGGCTGACACTTAAGATTTTCCTCCTGATTCTACTCACTGACTTTAGGTAAACTAGAAAGGGCAGTTGCTATGGACAGAAGGTTTGGAAACGGGAGCATGTAAGCTCTAAGCGGAAGACTGACATCAACTCTGAAGCTACGTTCAGGTATAAAGAACTGAAGGAACTGGAATCCCAGCTGCCTACTGCCATCTTTGCTTCAGCTCTACTAGAGGGCACTGAATGGCTTGCCTTGCATGCTTCCCTTGTCTGCCTCAGTATTAGATGTTGGGTGTGGTGCTGGAGAGATAGCTCAGGGGTTAAGAGCACCAGCTACTCTTCCAGAGGTCCTAGGTTCAATTTCCAGCACCTGCATGGCAGCTCACAGCTGTCTGTAACTCCAGTTCCAGAGGATCCAACACCCTCACACAGACATACATGCAGGCAAAACACCAATGCACAAAAAATAAAAATAAACAAATTAAAACAAATTTGGATGATTCTAACTGACTGTTATCTGCCAAACAAAATAAGCATGGCTAGTTAAGTGATACTATCTTAAACACTCAAATGCTACTATATATTTATGCAAATACTCTTAGAACTGATATTCAATTTATATGAATATTATAAAAAAAGGACCAACTTGAAATTAAGACACTTATTTTATACAGATTTTTACTTTCAATTTTTGTCATGGTTTGAGAAAATACTTGAGCAGGGCCCAGAGGGATGGGGCCTGGAGTGGGGTGGGGGTGGGGAGGACAGAGCAAGCAAGGGCTGGAGCAAGAAGGAGAAGGGGAAAAAAAAAGAGAGAAAATACTGTCCATGAAAAATTCAACCTAGGATTCCTTATCAGATTTGTTGAGCCTTTTGATACTGTAATAGAATGTTGTGACATATATATATGTGACATACATAAACAAGACAACTGAGTTACTAATAAAATAACACAAGAAATAAAAAATTGTGTCATGTTTCAGTAAGTTTATGATTTTGTGCTGGGTCACATTCATAGCTCTCAGCCCCACGCAGCTCCCAGGCTGCAGGCTGAACCCTATGAGAGAACCAGATACACATGACTACACAGTAAGGGATGCGCACGCTTACCTTACTTAATCCTAAGTATGTCAGCATGGACATGGCTGGTGCTGCCAATGCAAAGACCAGCAAGTGCTTTCTGATTCGATTCCGCTCCAGGCCAGCGTGCATCAGGAAGGAAACCAGCCCAAATGCTGCTGGAGCCTGGAAATGACAAAGTAGCCCCTTTATCACCTGAGAAGCAGGGCTTGCTTCCACGTCAAGGAATGCACGTGATGGTATCTGAATATGAGAAACCTAGGCATCACATCAAGAGCAAGCTTGCCTTTTAGGAACCAATGGTCTCACAAGAAAATCCTACATGTGTCTGTATATAGCTTTCTTGGTAGCATTTTATACAAGATTATTTTGAATTTTTAATTCTTACTTACTATAATTGTGTATGTGAACATAGCCACCTGTGTGCCAGTGTGTGTGGTGATCAAAAGACAACTTTTGGGAACTGGGTTGTTAATTGTTTAGCAAGTACTTTTACCCATTGAGCCATCTAGTCACTTATGTGAACAAAATTCTATGAAAAACAGAAATTGAGGGCTAGAGATTTGGCTGGTCAATGGTTAAGAGAACTGACTGGCTGCTCTTCTAGAGGCCCTGAGTCCAATTCCCAGCAACCACATGGTGGCTCACAACCAACCATCTATAATGGGACTCTGTTGCCCCTTCTGGCATGCAGGAGTACATGCAGACAGAACACTCATAGATACAAAATACAGAAATAAATAAATCTTTAGAAAAATAGAAATCAGTAAGCATTTAGCCATTTGAGTATATGATGATACAAAAAAAAAAAAACCAAATAAAGCCCTTCTAATGAGTTTAAGAAAATAATAGCAAAAACAAAAGCACTGAACACACATATTTAATTCTACTAAATGGACAGTAATTAAAAATTTAAAAGGGGGAGTGGTGGTGGCTATCAGATGCTGCAATGGGCAAGGTGTCTGCTCTGCAAGACTTGGGACCCGAGTTCAAACCCCAGGACTCAGGTGAAGGTAAAAGGCGGGAATCAATTTCACAAAGTTGTTCTCTGACTTTTATTATGCTGATGGTGGCATGTGTGTGCTCATGTGCACACACATATAATACATTTTTAAAGCTAAAAATATACCACATCTCAGAAATGCATCAAAGATCAAGACAAATTTTAATTACAAATATGTTCTATATCCAACCTTGGCTGCTTACCTTATGTAACATTATTGCCACAAACACAATTAACTGGACACTAGTCTGTGATGTAGAGGCTGCTGCTCCCAAAGCTACACCATCAGCTAAATTGGGAGACAAGGAAACAAGAAGCTATGAAGAGAGGCAGGGCCGGGCTGATGAACTTGGATCTGGGCAAGCTACTCAACTTCAATGAACTTCATCTTCAGGATGGGGTCAATAAACTGGGCAGTGGTGGACACACCTTTAATCCCAGCACTTGGAAAGCAAAAACAGGGAGATCTGAGTCTGAGGCCAGCCTGGTCTACAGAGTGAGTTCCAGGATAACTAGGGCCACATAGAGAAACCCTGTCTGAAAAAACCAAGGGGTCGAGGAAGATGGGGTCTAAAAAACAGCGCATTCTTAGGGCTTCCTGAGTGCTAAAAATAATAGATGCAAAGAGCTTAGCATCTCACCCCGAGTCATCCATAAGTTAGCTGTCTTTATTGCTAAAAAAAAAAAAAATGAAATACAAACATCCATTGATGAGGCAAGTTGTAATAATAAGAATGTGGTAACGAAGAATTTCAGGGGACACATTCTGTCCTCAAGGCTTGAGGCTTCTATACAGATGATTCACACATGATGGGGACTCTCTTAGTTTGAGTTACTACGTTGTGATGAAACACCATGACCAAAGCAAGTTGGGGAGGGAAGGGTTTATCTGGCTTACACTTCCATGTCACTGTTCATCACTGAAGGAAGTCAGGACAGGAACTCAAACAGGGCAGGAACCTGGAGACAGGAGCCGATTCAGAGGCCATGGGAGGAATGCTGCCTATTGGCTTGCTCCTCCAGGCTTGCTCAGCCTGCTTGCCTCTAACACCCATGACCACCAGCCCAGGGACGGCACCACCCGCAATGGGCTGGGCCCTCCCACATTAGTCACTCTCTAAGAAAATGCCCCACAGCTGGATCTATGGCGGCATGTTCTCAACTGAGGTTCCCTCCTTTCAGACGACTCGAGCTTGTGTTTAAGTTGACATAAAATAAAAAGGTCAAGAGAGGGAGTTGGCTGAATGGGTATACTGAAACACAGTCTAGAAATGGAGTTGTACAGTGAGGAGAGTTCCGAGTGCTCGTGAGAACACTCCAAGAAAACAAGTCCTGTAATCCCAGTTTCTTCAAAACACAGACTTGTTCTCGAAATGTGTTTTAGTGCCCATCTCAGGTGTAGTGGACACAGGTGAGCTTACTTCAGAGTATTCACTATTGTTTGCTGATGTTATTCAATTAAATGTTTTCCTTTACATATCTTTATGGACATATTTTTGCCATGTGTGGCTTGTCCTTGTGATTGTATAAGCCTGAACTCATGAGAACTTTACTCAGGTGACCTTTCTTTTTTTTCTTTTTGGTTTTTTCGAGACAGGGTTTCTCTGTGTAGTTCTGGCTGTCCTGGAACTCACTCTGTAGACCAGGCTGGCCTCGAACTCAGAAATCCACCTGCCTCTGCCTCCCAAGTGCTGGGATTAAAGGGGTGCGCCACCACCACCAGGCTCAGGTGACCTTTCTTAACCCTCAAGTATATAAACTGTCTGGGGCTCTGAATAAAGTTGGCTATTGCGTGAGACTTTAGTCTACCTCATTTATTGGCTCCCTTCTCTCAGGTCCCACAGCCTCTAGTGCAGTGATATGGGTGATTTTGTTAGAAAGCAGAAACCAGCAGGTTAGGAGTGTGCTACTTTTCCTACGCCTTTATTTGGACGTGACAGAATCCTACCTACCTTCAGGTCTAGGTTTAGGTTATGGTGCCAAAGCAAGTTCCATCAGCCACACTGAGTCTTCTGCTTGCTGCCTCAGTCTACACTGGCAGCTGGGCTGTTTGGTGCTGACGTGCACAGGCTCTTTTCCAGACAGATCTTAGGGTAGAGGTCAGCAAACTCCTTAAAGCCCAGACAGGAAATATTTGAGCTTTCTAAGTTACTTGGCCTCTTTTAGCTACTCAACTCTGCCAATACTGTACAAAACAAGCCATGGGTGATACAGACCATGCGGGCATAGCTGTCTTCCCGAACAGCACTATCACTCTACACCATAGTTTTCCAGTGACATGAAAGATCTTTCTGTTTCATAGACCTGAGGATTGAACACAGGTCTTTCATGTACCCGACAGATGGTTTCTCATTGAGCTACAGCCACAGACTCTTTTGGACAGGTTTTAGATATGTAGCTCAGGCTAAAATTAATTAGTCAAGTTGGTCTTGAACTCTGGACCCTACTGCCTCTACCTCCTGAGTGCTTGGACTACAGGTGTGTGCTACCATTCCTAGCTTACGCTCTGTGTTTAGGTATTAGAACTATAGAATGCATTCTTAGCTTGTTAAACTCAATAGAGAATATGCCAGGACTTGTGCTCCAACTAGAGGGCTTTGTCCAGCCACCCTTCCCCAAGAGCGTTCAGTGTGGAGTCTCCTCTGTGAGGTTAGGAGCAGTCTCTCTGCAATCCTGACTCACCTGCAGCATGGACGACTAGCCCCAGCGTGGTGGTGATTTTGGAACTGCTGGGTCTTGCTGTTTCTGGATCTACAGAGAATGAGAAAGTATCACTAAGTAGTATGACATAAAAGCAAAAGAAACACCCGTCTGACGATGGTCCATTTCTTATTATCATTGTTATTTTAGAGCTGGAGTCTCACTGGGCACCCCTGGCTGGCCGTGAACTCCAAATCCACATCTTGGCTTACCAAGCACTGGGATTAAGGGTATACAACACCACATCCAGCTATCTACGTATTTTGAAAGCTCAGATTTTGAACCGTTTCTGTGGGTGTGAGGGAACTCTTGACTGGGCCTCCCTGCATAGTTCTGAAATGCATCCCCCAACTGCCTGAGCCTCCTCAGTCCGCAGAAGTGCTCCATGGGCTCTGCTTATGTCTCCACAGGCTCATCTAACTCCTGCAACTGTTCTCATGCAGCCTCGGTCATGTCTTCCCTTCTCCACTATGCAGCCATTTTTTACCAAGTTACAACAGTTCCCCACTGCTCTGCTTACTTTCCCCGAAATCACCTCAGCTGGAAATGTCACAGACATCTTTAAAAAGTACCCCACTTCTGCTGTCTCTCTTTTTTTTTTAAGTTTTATTTATTTATTATATGTAAGTATACTGTAGCTGTCTTCAGACACCCCACAAGAGGGCATCAGATATCATTGCAGATGGTTGTTAGCCACCATGTGGTTGCTGGGATTTGAACTCGTGACCTCTGGAAGTGCAGTCAGTGCTCTTAACCACTGAGCCATCTCACCAGCCCCTGCTGTCTCTTTTAAAGAGCTCAGGTCAGCTGCAACTATGTTATTAGGCAGGTTTTTTCCTTTGGCACTGAGGATTGAACCTGGGGCTTTGTCCATGCATTTGAGCACTCACTCTTCACTGGGTTATAATGCCCAGCTTCAAGTGCCAGACTGGCCTTGAACTTGCTCTAAAGACCATATAGGCCTTGGATTTGTGGCTTTCCTGACTCAGCCTGAGTAGCTGGGATTACAGGCCTACACCACCACACCTGGCTTGAGGAAGGTTCTTAAACTGTATCAGCTGCTTCCACGTATTTCTCAGTACCTAGACCAGCTAACATATTTCTCTAGTACTTTCAAATCATTCTTGACTCCCTTTCCCCAAATCTCCTCACTTGTAGTTCTTGGCCAGCTTACCCAGATTATCATCCCAAACCTAGACACTATTCCAAGTTAAATCCTAGGACCACATCAATCAAGAAAGGGTCAGAGGATAATCTCAGCTCAAAACAATTGCCCCCAGCTCAATTAAGATTCTGTGTAGCTGGCATCCATGTGCCACTTCAGAGGTTCTGCTCCATCCCTAGATCAGCTGTAACCAATACCCTGTACTTCTTTCTCTTTCTTTTTACAGTCTCACAGAATGTGGTGCATCATTAGGCAGCCCCATGTGGATTTATAAGCTCTCTCAATGGAGATGTTACTGTCTTAGGAAACAGATGGGGGTTGGGGTAGGGCACGAACTTCCACCCCTAGCCAAGGAGCTACTGGCATTTGGTAGTTCCTGGGAGAGAAAGGGTCAGTTTTCTTTAAGGGTGTGACTCCTAGTAAGTGAACTAATCTCCAGAGCAGCCTCTACATCCCACACCCAAGAGCATTGAGCAAGACAAACCAGACTCCTGGAGGAGGGAGGGGGAGAATACCGGTGGGGGTGAGAAAGAACACACAAGATCTTGGAGAAGTTGAAAAGGTGAATATGATCAAAATACATTATATAAATTTATCAAAAAATTAATAAAAATATTTTTAAAACATTAGGGATTTAAACATAGTGTTTTTGAAGCCAGAGATGGCTCAGCAGTTAAGAGCACTCATTGCTCTTGCAGTGGACCCAGCACCCATGTCTGATAGTTCACAACAATCTGTGACCAGCTCCAGGGAGATCCAATATCTCTGGCCTATGTGGGCACCCTCTGTGTGTGTGTGTCACACACACACACAAAACATGTAATTCTTTTTTTTTTTTAAATCAAGCAAGAAAACCCAATAGTTGTGATAAGTCTACAGGAAGACATTGTAGTTCAGCATAATTCTGATAAGTGAATTTACTTTTACTGACACTTAGTAATACATAAAACCAGAGCTATGTATGATGCCATACATAACAGGAATAATTCTAGCACTTGGGAAACAAAGGCAGGACGACTGTGTGTTTGAGATCAGCCTGAGCTACATAGAGAGACTGTCTCCAAAAAAACTTAACTAAACCTAAAACATTGAAAATCAAAGATACACACACAGAAGGCCAGCAAAAACAGCACCCTTCCGGAAAAAAAACAGAAAGAAGAGTAAACATATGTTACATTTAATTCTGGGTACAGGATTACCAGGCACTATTGGGCCTATATAATTTATTAAAAATTCTTTTTGGGGAGAGAGGGAGGTTATGGAGAGATGGTTCCACAGTTAAGAGCACTGGCTGCTCTTCCTGAGGAGCTGTGTTCAATTCTGAGCATCCACATAGATGCTAACAAATGTCTGTAACTCACGTTCCAGAGGATCTGACATCTTCTGATCTGACCTTTCTGCCTCTGTGGGCACTATATGAATATGGTGGGCTGATATACCAGCAGACAAAATGTAATACACATAACATGAAAAGAAATAAAAGTAACTTTAAAAAATTCTGTTTGTTCAGTGTTGAGGATCAAGTCTAGTTCTTACATGTGCCAGGCAAGTACTCTGTCAATGAACCCTATCTCTCATGGCCTACTTTAAAAGTTTTAACTCATTAGTTTCCAAATGTTACAGCATAGACTCATAACCAACTCTCATCAGCTTAAGACATGTTAAGTTGTGGAGAGCTCTTGGTGCTGCTTCTAGGAATTTGGCAAGAATTTGACATTGGGCAGGAACAAGGAAGTGGGCTCAGATAAGATTCTGACCCTGGGCTAGGACTAGACTCAAGATGAACACAACTGAGGAATGCATTGTATTCCTTGTTATCTTGGTCATCCTAATAAACCCCGAGACACAGTGGTCACAGGACTTGTTTAAGGCCTTGTTTGTTCCTTGACTACTTTGTCTTTGGTCTAGAACCGGCCCTATTCTTTGCATGTACCTAGAATGGTGTAAAAGCAGACTGGACAAAAATAAACCTGCTTCAGACTCAGCACTGGCTGGAGTCATGTTATAATATTGTTTAATTGCCTTTTTTTTTTTAAAATTCTCACTCTCTACCTCGAGCCCCTGTTGACTGAGCTGGCTTGGTCATTAAGTACCCCAAGGAAGTCTATGTTGGGGTCTGTCTTCTATAATTCTCTACCTTGCTTTGTTTTGTCTTGTTGAGACAAGGTCTTTCACTAACCCTTTCATCTAGATTCAGCTAGGACGGCTGGCCAACAATATCTTTTAGGGCTCTTCCTGTTCCTGCTCCCAGCACTGAGTTTACAGACCTATGAGAGCATGCCTGGCTTTTTACTTGGGTATTAGGGATCCATCTCCCCAGCCCTAGCAAAACCAAACCGAAACAAAGTGTTGGGTTTTGTTTGTTTAAGATAGAGTCTTCTGGGGGCTGGAGAGATGAGATGGCTCACCGGTTAAGAGCACTCACTGCTCTTCCAGAGGTCCTGAGTTCAATTCCCAGCAACCACATGGTGGCTCACAACCATCTGTAATTGGCTCCAATGCCCTCTTCTGGTGTGTCTGAAGACAGCTACAGTGTACTCATATAAATAAAATAAATAAATCTTAAAAAAAAAAAAAAAGATAGAGTTTTCTATTGTAGTCCTGGTTAGTCTAGAACTCACTATATAGACCAGGATGGCCCTGAACTCACAGAGATCAGCCTGTCCCTGCGTCCCAAGTGCTGGGGTTAAAGGTGTGCTCCACCAGGAGGGAAAAAAAAAATTTCTTTAAAGGTGTATTATGGACTTAGTGGCACATTCAGTTTTTGAGGGATGGTAGAGGAAGGAGAGTCAGGAATTAAAGGTTATCAATGGTTACAAAAAGGGTTTGAGACTAACCTGGTATAGATGAGATTTTATTTCAAAGTAAGCACATTAAAAAAAAGATACAATAAATACAAGGAAATATAAAACTTTGTTGACACCAAGAGTTTTGTTTCTGACAGCATATCAAGAGTTACTATGTAGCCAATGCTGGCCTCCACTGAATTCACAGGCTCCAGCCTGCGCCTCCTGAAAGTCCGATTACATCATATGCCACCACACCTGCCTAGTCAACCTGCTTTTACTTTGTTTTAGTACCACCTGTTTTTTCTTCTTAAGGTTTGGGATTAAAGCTTTGCCTGGCAATCCATGCCATGTTCAGGCACAGAGCTACATCAAAAACTTTGTTCATTTACTCAGTCCATGATTAAAACAAAACAACTTTTATTTGGAAATAAGTTTTAATCTTGAAAAAGTTACAATAGATTAAAGAAAATAATCATGTCCTTGACCAACTATCCAAACATTTGGACCCACTTGCTCCACAGCTTGCCTTCCTACGTGCGCTACACAAAGTGAGTTGTACACATCACTATCTTAGATACTTCATTGGGTATTTCCTGAGGGAAACGATAATCATAAAGGATATCAACCTCAGCAAATTTAGCATTATTTCTGATTCCTGTTGCACATTCATCTTGTGTCAGTTTTCTGATAATGTTCCTCAGAGCACGTCCTTTCTAGGAAGAGTCAATTCTAAGATCACATAATTCATGTGATGCGAATCTGGAGAACACAGTCACCTCCTCGTACCCACGTTTCTGTTTGTTTTTCCTTCCTTCCTTCCTTCCTTCCTTCCTTCCTTCCTTCCTTCCTTCTATAATCATCCTCCCCTTTAGAAGACTGTACCTCTGCAAACCACAGGTGCTTTTCATGTTGGATCATAAACCAGACATTGTTAGTAGTACTATCTCATGAATAATCTAGGTTCTGTTATATTTTTCTACAGAATTTATGTAACTTTTTGTTTGTTTGTTTTTTCGAGACAGGGTTTCTCTGTGTAGCCCTGGCTGTCCTGGAACTCACTCTGTAGACCAGGCTAGCCTCGAACTCTGAAACTCGCCTCTGCCTCCCAAGTGCTGGGATTAAAGGCGTGTGCCACCACCGCCCAGCTGCTTTATGTAACTTAATTTGTCTCAAACTGTAACCTGTTTTTTGGACAGCTTGGTTAATTATTTTAGTTTAATTGCAAAGAGTCTGCCCAAACATGCATGGCTTGGGAGTCAGCAAGAGACCTGAACAGCTTCCTCACAGAAACTGAGGCTGAGTTCTAGTGTAACAGATCCCAGACCTTAGCACAACTGACACCATGATGGAAGTACCCATTCAGGCCTTGAAACCCAGCACATAGGCAGCAATACCTGCCAAGAGATGAACAAAGTCCCAATCTATCAAAATCCATAGTTCTGGGGGAGTCCCTAAATATACTCACTTTGCTTTTGGCTTCTACAGTTCTGCTTTTGGCTGTTCTTGCTAGCTGACCTGTGTCAACCCAGGATGTGGTTTTGTGCTTAAAAGAGAAAGGCTCAGGTCAGGGCTATCTATACTGGTATCCCAAAACCCAGTGTAGTCACCTGCTGGCTAATAAAGACTTTCTATTGGCTTAAACCCATGTCTGAGAAGTCTTTTCTGGTGGATATCCCATGAGGCTAATAAAGACTTTCTATTGGCTTAAACCCATGTCTGAGAAGTCTTTTCTGGTGGATATCCCGTGAGGCTAATAAAGACTTTCTATTGGCTTAAACCCATGTCTGAGAAGTCTTTTCCGGTGGATATCCCATAACATTAGGATTCTCCCTTCTTTTTAGGGCTCTGGTCATCTACAGTTCTGTCCCACAAACACTGGGGACTTTCTGAGACATGGTCTCAAGTAGTCCAGGCTGGCTTCAAACTTGCTATATAGCAGAGGTGAGTCTAGATTCTCCTGACCTCACTCCCCAAGTCCTAGGATTACAGACACGTAACAACTAGGGAAGACGGAGCTTCTTCTCTCACAAGGACGCTGTTACTAACCCTATAAAAACTGGCATCTCTATTCCGAATATTGACACTCTGCAGAATATGCTTGCTCTTAATGACTCTCTGCTATCTTTAGCTGGTAGTTTTAAAACTTTTATCCAAGGTTCAGAGTTATTTGAAAGGAGGCTGGTCTGATGGCCTCCTGAGCTACACCAACCAAAGCAGAAAGCTGGTGACACTGACTTTGACCACCTGGTCAGAGCACTGCTGGACCCCTTCGTTTATTTACTTCTTTCCCCCTTGTATCTAAAAGCAGATCAGATTTACTCACTATCAAGTTTTTTGCTTGTTTGTTTGTTTGGTTGGTTTGGGGTTTTTTGTTTGTTGGTTGGCTAGCTTTTAGACAGTACCTCACTGTGTATCTGCTGGAACTCTATACGGAGACCAAGCTAGCCTCAAGTTCTTGTAGCCTTATGTACTAAGCGTATATATGTAAACAGTAACATTCCAATAATTGGGCTATATAGGCTTTCGACTGCCTAAGGGCTCCACAGCACAAATCAGGCTAGGGACTCCTGCCCTAGACTCTCACTCAGATATGGCTGCTTTAAGCCCCACAGGGTTAATATGTCAATACCACAATAACTAGCTCCCACAGTTGAATAAAATACCTGAGAATACCTGAGGAGAACAGGAGTTTGGCATTTAAGTAAGGTCATTGGTGTAGACTGAATCACTCAGTTTGTAAATTTCCAAACTACAAAAGTGCCTTCCCAGCCCAGAAAGCCTGAGAGCTACTCACCATCAGTGGAATGCACATGGGAGCTGCCAATCTGGTCCACTAGCAACATGAAAACAAAGCCCAGTACAAGAGACACACCGATGTAGGCATGTAGCTGTGTGTGCTCATGGCTGTGCTCATGCTCATGGACAACTGATATTTCTGCTGCTTTGTCTGAGGCAATCACATTCTGCTTCGTTTCACTGGCTTGGTGGTGTTTTCCTGGAGCAAAACAAACCACAAAATATGACAGCTTCCATTTGTATTTTAGGTGCCACTGAAGTTACTGTAAGAACACCTAATTCCTATACTGTAATTCAGGCAACCACAAACCCCTTCAGTTTAAAAGTTTGTAATAAAAACAGTCCCAAGATAAAAACATTCTTCTGCTTTTGGCATGCAGGCCTTCTACTGCCTATCAACTTAAACTCTTGGACACAGAAGCAAATCACCATGCAAGAATGCAGTGACATTTCAAACGGCCCCAGATCTAAATCTTCCTTTGTCCCCTCAGGACAGCACATGAAGCTTCAATCTGATGAAACCAGGTAGAGAAAGAACAGTGAAAACGAAAGCAACTGTAGTAAAAGTCACTACTGTTATACCTAGGTTGATACAAAATTTAAAGCAAACAGAATGGTAACCGTTCAGTTTTTATAAAATATCAGCCAGAAAACACACACACACACACACACACACACACACACACACGGAATTGAAAAGGCACATTTAAATTTAGTTCTAGATCATCAAGGTCGTTGGGACACTGAATTATAGTAACTAACAGCTAGCCAAAGGATAATTCTAATTTATAGTCATGTGTTTGATACTTCAAACATCAATAATGCTTAAAGGCTAAAACTTTTTTATTTTTATTGAAAAATTGTATACAATATATCTTGATTAAATTCTTTCGCCTCCTCTAACTCCTCCCAGATCCTTTTCACTTCACCCAACTTCACAGTCTTTCTCTAAACAAAACAAAAAAAAAGACAAAAAAATTAAAACTAAAAAAAAAATCAACAAGATAAAAGATAAAAAGTTACCAAAACAAAACAAAAACACCCCAAAACTATAAGATCTATTTTATGTTAGTTAACTCCTGGGGATGGGACCTACCCTGGAGTGTGTTGACCCAGTTTCCATGGGAGAAAATGGATTTTCCCTTTCCCAGAAGGTTTCAATTGCAGATAGCCTCTCAGTTAGGGCTGGAGTTTTGCCTGGTTGGACCTGTGCAGGTCTCTGGCTTCTATCTCATGTGTACACATATTAACATGTACTCACATGCTCACACATATGTGCATACATTACACATACACACAAAATAAGAACTGTAACACTTAAAAAGACTGAAATTACTCATGATTGCAAACAAGTATTAGGTAGCGTTCATGAGATATGGCATTCACAAAACTGCTAAGGATGTGCACAATGTCTAAGCTGTCCAAAGGCATCGCTTAAACACTCTCTCAGGACAAACATAAACTATATCCAGAAGAAATTCCATGAATTCTTCTGCCAACATGTCTCAAGTAAGGCTTGTCTCTCTCACCCTCCAGAACCTCTTCATAAAGTGCATGCACCCCTTCCGGCACGATAACCGCCAGTGCAGTTCCACAGAGAAGACCAGCACCCAACACAGTCACCAGCTTCAGCCGCTCCTAGAAAAATAACAAAAGAAACTATTAGAAAGACCATCTGATGATTAGGGAACATTTTCTATTCATGAAACCAACAGTTGCAATGGCCAGTAAGCATGAAAAATGGTTGGCTTCGTGAGTAATGCCTGTTAAAAGACAGAAGCTGGGTACACGGGCTTCTAAGGAAGCTGACACAGGAAAGACTACTTAGGCCCAGAAGTCTGAGGCAACCTGGGCAACACAAGATCATGACTCTTTGCTTCTTTGTTTGGAGGCAGGGTTTTGTGTAGCCCAGGCTGGCCTCAAAGTTGAAACTAGTTAGGGATGACCTTGCATTTCCTCCTGCCTCTCTCACCTAAGTGCTGAGATCACAGACATAAGGTCCACACCTGGCTTTATGCAGTGCTGGGGACCGACCTGAAGGCTTCCCACATTCTACCAGCTGAACTACATCCCAGTCCACTTGTCTGTTTTATAAATAGCTAATTTTTATTAGTTGAAAAACATGGAGACAAAGTAATGAGTCTCATATGGCACTGAAGCAGTGCTCCAGCATAGAATTTAAATGTGTAGCCCAGGCTGGCCTCGAACTCGTGATCCTCCTGCCTCTGCCTCCTTCAGCAAATCTTACCAGAGTGTGCCACCACAACCAGCTCGAACATGGAATTGAGTGTAATCTGAGCATATGTCCCTCCCCCATTTCAGTCCCACTGTCTCCTTTCCTCTTCCCAACTAGCCGCCCTTTTTTAAACGATCCAGTGAGTTTGTTTGGGTAGCTTACAGCAGATGGGTGAGGGTTTATAGACCTTGAGCATCTTACCAGTGGCTACACCACTGAAAAAAAAAGTCTCAGCAGTTAAAAGCACTCTTCCAGAGGACCCAGTACCCACCTGGCAGCTCACAACTGTTTTTAACTTTAGTTACAGGGGATCTGGCTCACTCCTCTGGTCTCAGCCGCACTACACACATGTGATACACATACATGCAAGCAAAACACCCATACGCATAAAATACAAACTAACAATTTAAAAAAGAAAAGAGAGTGTTTCTTCTTCCTCCCTCATAGAACGTTAACTTCTTCCGGGAAGTGGTAAGGTCTTCCACTGACCTGGCCAGGAACTACCAGCTTAAGCAGGCTTTAAACCCACAGCAATCCTACCTCAGTCTCCCAACTGCTGAGATTACAAATATCAGCTGCCAGAGAGACCACAACCCTTAAAGTAAAATGAGAAAACTGGTAACGACATAGGAAAGAGTTATTACTCATGAACAGGAGCAGTGAGTGCATTTCCCTAAACCTGCCATGAATGTGAACTGCTGTAATTTATTTGGACCACAATTTGACAATTTACAAGATATGAATTCTTGTAAGAAACTTGCTGTACAAGTATTTGGACCCAGGTTCAAATCCCAGTAACCACGTAAAAAGCTGGGCATGGCTGTGTGCCTGCCTGTAGCCCAGTGCTGTGGGGAGTGAAAGAAGGATCACTGGGGTTTGCTGGCAGCCAGCCTAACTCCAGGTTCAGTGAGAGACCCAGTCTCAAAGGAGTAAGGCAGAGAGTGAGAGAACTCTCTGGTCACATCTGGTGTCTTCTTCTAGCACCCACATGTCACATATACCCACATGTCTCACACACACACACACACACACACACACACACACACACACACACACACACGAGAATGAGCAGGTAAGTTATACAGTGTTAGCATACAGCTTGATACCCTACATGAGCCAGTTGACAGTGACCAACTGTTGAAAAGAACAGCCAAATGACATAAGCACCACTGCCATGAGCTACAGTGACAATTTTTATTAGGAAAAAAAAATTAACTGTCTTAGTTTGGGTCACTACTGCTGATGAAACACCATGACCAAAGCAAGTTGGAGAGGAGAGGGTTTATCTGGCTTACACTTCTATGTCACTGTTCATCACTGAAGGAAGTCAGGACAGAAACTCAAACAGGGCAGGAACCTGGAGGCAGGAGCTGATGTAGAGGCCATGGAGGAGTGCTGTTTATTGGCTTGGTCAGATTGCTTTCTTATAGAACCCAGGGGCACCTGTCCAGAGGTCACAGCACCCACAATGGGCTGGATGCCCCCACAATCATTAAGAAAATGTCTTACAGGTTTGCCTACAGCCCAGTCTCACCGAGGCATTTTCTCAGTTGAGGCTCCCTCCTCTCTGATGACTCTAGCTTGTGTCAAGTTGATTAAAACTAGCCAGCATACCACCAGAATCATTTTAGATGTGACATAATTTATTTCAAGCCTAGAAATAATGGCTCCATGGTGTCTGTATGTATGGCTGTATTCTCTCATATAACTTTACAACCAGGGACTCAATCACAAATTATGTGTTTATCAAAGTTAACAAAGTGCTGGCAGCTTCTCTCCTTTGCCTGTGGCAAATCACTAAAAGAGTGTATTTAAATGAAGAACAACAAATTCCAGGTATATTTCAAGATGGGAAGAGAGCTCCCCAAGCAATAGTTTCTGTCAGAGTAATGAACTATTTTCTCAAGAGAGGCATGAACTGTGCAGTGCCACTGGCTTTGCTGCCTCATTTTAGAACTTCACAGTTGTAGCTGACTGGGCTGAAGAATCAGCCAGCTGTATTAATTAAAACAACAGCTTGCATTCAATGTCATTAACTATCAGTGCAAAGCTTTGAAGTCTGTTTAATTTTCTTGGCAGACAGCAAGAAAATTAAGTAGTTTTTCTTTTCCTGCTCATAAAAACAGTCAACAAATTATTCCATTCAACCAAATACAAGCCATCGCTTTTAGAAACTTTTGATACTGAAAATTCCTGTCTCAATCCTTGTGTCCAAGCCCACTTTAATACTCAAAGCATCAACAGTACCCTATAAAAAAAAAAAAAGGTAAATTTGTTAGACCAAAATTGACTCTATCCAAGCACTGAAGAGCTATCAAGGGATACAGAATAATTCTTGTTCAAACAACAAAGCTTTTCTCTGTACTCTACAAAGATGCTTCAAAGAGATGTTTCTTAATATTAATTTAACCACTACATGATCTGCCATTAATATTATAACTCAGATCTAAACTTTGTTCAGGTTCTTCTGTCTGAAACAAGATGCTCCAAAGCTCTGGGCTCTGTAAGCGAACACTGCTCCTGTCACTGCACAGCAACAGAATGCTGGCACACTGCAGAGACTCCGCTAGTTCTTACCTTCGACATCACCTGCTTCATGCACAGAGAGCTTCTAAGAGTAGGGAAATGCTTGGAGCAGCTTAAACCAACAGTGACCAGGACAGCTAAGCTTTCTCTTTCCTGATTCATAAAGATTAATGAAGTCTTCCAGGACCTAATACTAAGCATGCACTTCATTAACTCCACTCTCTCTAATCTTGAAATAAAAGACTAATCTGTTTTTCATTTTAAACTTTTATGTTTAAATATCCCAGCCGGTGCTCAGAAGCAGAGGCAGTCAGGTCTCTGAGCTTGAGGCCAGCCAGACCAGCAAGAGCTACACAGAGAAACCATGTCTTGAAACACAAAATAAAACAAACAAACAAACAAAAGAACTGAACATAAAAATCTTATGTAGATTCTCTCTGGTGACCATAAAAACAAAAGCAGAAGGCCACTAGCAAAGAAGTTGGGAAAAATAGGCAATAAATATACTAGTGATATATAGAGCCCACTGAACAGACTAAAACAATGAATTTGCCTTTGTTGGACAAATATATTCTTAAAATACTGAGAACCTTCTTAGAGACATTTATGTCCTCTGACCTATCATTCTACTCCCCCCCCACCCCGTTTCTTTCTTCTTCTTTTGTTTGTTTGTTTGTTTGTAGACAGGGTCTCTCCATTATGCAGCCCTTCTGTCTTGGAACTCACAACGTACACCAAGCTGGTCTCCAACTCACAGAGATCCGCCTGCCTCTGCCTCTGCCTCCAAAGGGGTGTACCAGGCCACTACACCTGGCTCCATTATTCCGCTGTTTTTGAGACAGGGTTTCTCTGCATAGTCCTGGCTGTCCTGGAACTCACAGAGATCCGCCTGCCTCTCCCTCCCTGAGATTAGAGGCGTGAACCACCACCACCCAGCTTAATTATTCCATTCTTAAAATGTGAAATATGGCCAGTTTTAGACATAAAAAAATTCACTCAATCTATCATGTCAAAAACAAATGAATACACATGAATTTCAGTATAATAAATAATTGAATGTAGTGAAGACATTTGAAAATGGCTATATTAAATTTCCAACAATAAAGGAAAATGGTAAGGAAATAATTCCCCGACAAAAGGGAAAATATAAAATTATACATATATCACCAACTCAACCATGTTAAAAATTAAAACAGAAGGCCGTGCAGTGGTGGCAAACACCTTTAACATCAGCACTCAGGAGACTAGCCCGATCTCTGAGTATGAGACCAGCCTGGTCTACACAGCTGAGTTCCAGGACAGCCAGAGCTGCACAGAGAAACCCTGTCTTGAAACACCAAAAAAAAAAAAAAAAAAAAAAAAGGACAAAAAAATGTGTGGTGATTTGAATGAGAATAACCCCCAATGACTCAGACTCATGTATGTGAATGAATGCTTGGCTCACAGGAAGTGGCATTATTAGGAGGTATGGCCTTGTTGGAGAAAGTGTGTCATTGTAGGTCTCTGTAGGGGTGAGCTTTGAGGATTCATATGCTTAAGCTAGGCCCTAATGAGTCTCCTTCTGCCTGTGGATCAAGACCTAGAACTCTCAGCTCCTTCTCCAGCACCGCATCTGTCTGCCATGTTTCCCACCATGGTGATAACGGACTAACCCTCTGAAACTGTAAGCCAGCCCCAATGAAATGTTTTCATTTCTAAGAGTTGCCTTGGTCATGGTGTCTGTTAACACCTAAGCAATGAAACCCTAAGACAAAATGTTATTAGTGATTCTACTAGGCTGTAGAAAAACATTTTCTTTTCCTTCTACACATTATATTAAATTTCCCACAAACTATCTGTAAGTGACTATAAACAGGCCTTCTCCCCACCCTAAAAT